GAAGTTTGGCCTGTTTAGCTGAAATCAGGTTACCAGCTGACCTGCCTTGCACTGTATCTACATGTATGTTGGGGACCACTTCATTTCTGATTTGTGCCGAGTGCATGAAACATGCAGAGAAGGATCCTTGCTCTATGAGGTTTGGCCCTTACCAAAGTTGGTTGAGGAAAATGGGAGTGGAACCAGTGAGGGTTGTGAGTTACCTGAGTTTCCCTGAGCACATGATGACTCGCCGCTCGAACAGCAAGGACGCAAAGATCTGGATGACCTGGGGGATCTTCAGCGTGCTGAAGAGACAGTCAAAGTCAACCTGTTTTTTTTTTTTTCAGAACAGACCAAGGATAGTTAAGAACTCACATCAGCTGTAATCTTATCAAAAATATCCCCACTACAGGTGAAAAACTTGGCAGTGCATGGATTTCATTTTGAGGGTTTTAGAAAAAATACTCGAGGCTGGTTAGAGAAAGATCTGGCGATTCAAACTATCTCTTAAAAACCTGATTTGCAAAAATTGCAGACACTATCTCACAGACTGGTCTAGAAATTCTAGAAATAAGGACAGTTGCGGAGGATTTTTTTCATTCCTGACAGAATGTTTCAAATATGAAATTCTTTTTACATTTTCAAAAATCCGATAATATATTTCACATGTAGATCCCCATTGTCACTATGTTAATCTCACATAAAGGAAAGTCTTTGTTCAGAACAAGGTAGTTTATGTATCCTCATGTTCATATGCAGTATTGTCCTCAGTACAATAATTCCATACAGGTCATAAGTCCTCATTTCCAAGTGAGGACCATGGGGTTCATTTTTGACACACATGCAAGCTCTTATGTAGGACTTGCCAATTTGTTTCAGTTCAAGTCTTTGGTATGCCTACAGGTACTTCCTCAGACACTTACATGCTCTAATCTGGAGTCCTGGGGTCTCTGTAGAGTGAGAGGCTGCATGATGGAGGTCCTCGTACCATCTGTATCCATCTGCATGATTGTGGTGGAGCCGCCCTGCAGGAAAGTCCGATCATATCTTCATAGTGAAGCCACTGAAACTTACTTTTAGAACTTGGGCGAGCTAAAATTTTCTCAATGGGAGTGCAACGTGACAAGACCCAAGAACTATCTCCTATCGTTTGCGACTTCATGATGCATTTGGAAAGATAGGTGTGAACTTATACTATATAGTGATTAAATATATTCTTACAAATGGATCATTAGGGAGACATTTTGTGGTAAATTTTTCGACCTTAGGGAGACATCGGTCATTAGGGAGACATTTCAATGTCTCCTTAGCACCCCAGCTACCAGAAGGAGGCCAAATTTTATCGTACAAATTTCGAGAGATGACAGATTAGGGTCTAAATTGAAAACATACAAAGTTTGGTTCAGATCAGATTAGGAAATATTTAATTATGGGACAGTAAAGTTTGTGCACGTTCTTATGGGAATATCTCCCAAGTGATCCATTTTCAGATATACATACATATATATATACATTTTATGAGTTCTCCAACTGAAGTGATCAATGATCAACTCGCATGCATGATCACATAGCAGATATATCGTTAACAACTTTGCTATTGAAGTTGCTCCTTCCTACAGTATCGGCTTCCTCTGAGTTCTCCAATAGAAGTGAGTTGCCTCTGACTTACCGGCGGCGGGACGTGCCTCGTGTAGGCTTCTCGTATGAGCTTCTCCATGTCTCGCCTTGAGACCATCCGCCTCCTCTCGATCTCGTCCAGCAGCTGCGTGAAGAGGAGCCGACAGCTGATGGGTGTGATGATGCAGTAGACCTCAGGCAGGCGCGGCTTGTCGCCGGGAGGCTACGGAAATAAGGCGGCACGGTGGAAGAGACCAAATTTATTTACTTGCTGCACAATTCACATTAACGGACATTAACAGGTTACATCAACGGACCCTAGCACACCCTGACTTACATTTGGTGACTTTTGTTTAATTGTTAACATTTGCTTGGCACTTGCTTCAAATACTTATCCTCCATTGTAAATAAGCGAAATTGGAAAAATCTAAGCAGGCAGACTGAGTGTCGTTTTGAGCTTGGTTGATGTGACGGCAAATATTGCTCTGTGGGTGTACTCAGGAATGCTAAAACATGTCAGGATGTGGTCAGAAATAATGTACAAATACAGGTACCGCTCCAGAGACTGTTAAACTAGTCTGCATTTTGCACTTTTTGCCGTACATGAGAAGTTGGCCACTGTATCTTAGCCAAAATAACACTTTCTGATGTAGTCAATTCAGGGTTTTTGCTCTTATACATGTGTACATGTATCCACAACAGAGGACTAGTCTGATCTCAAGGTGTCGATGAGTAACGGGGACTTACCAGTAGTCTCCTGTTGTAGCCATACGACCTGGTGCCGTCCATACTCGTCAAGACGAAGGAATAGCTCTCGCTGAAAAGAGACCAAGGAAAGTGTATGACACGGCAATTCAACATCACCGGGAGATCTCAAAAATATATGTGTCGGTGTCACAACTTAACACAAAATGGTTGGAGAGTGTAAAGCGCTGATCTCTAAAAACCAAAAGGGATAGCGCCAAACCATTCATCGTGCACTAACAAAGCCACTGCACCGTGATATTGTTTTTTAGCCTTCAAAGATAGATGCAACCACACGCCGCACAGCTGGGACAGCCTGCCGCAATATTTCAAAGCACTATTAAGTGGAACTAAACAATGACTGGTGGCCTGTGCATAAAGCACTCACCTCTCATCACTGTGGTCCTGGGTTCGATTCCCAGCTCTGGGCCATGTGAGAGTAGAATAGTTAGTTATTTGCTTAACTCCGTGCCATGAGATTTCTTCTTCGGGCTCTTTGCTTTTGGTCCCTCCACCAAAATCATCAGCACTAATAAAATGATCGCTGGCTGTGCTCTGCAGTCAAATACGGGTCATCCACCGGTACCGGTTGTACAAGGCCCCTTTACACTACATGCCTTCGGCTCAAAAACGTTGTAGCTGCGTCTTTGCCAGTTCAGCCACGCAGCTGCAAGTTACCGGTAGGATATTAGCCCCCTGCCCCCCACACACATACACGTAGTTCATCCTATTCACCCTACTGCACTGTCTTACCTGAGGTATTTCTCCACCGGTGCCCACTTGAAGGCATCTGGGAAGCAGAAGTGTGGGATTGCACGTAGTTTATCATTCTGACTGGCGCTCAGCTGGGACGAAGTGAAAATGACGAGCAGAAACTTCAGAATAAATTTTTTGGAATGATGACCCTTACTGGGGCCAAAATAACGAGAACCGCTCCAGAGCTTAAAACCAGAAGTCATACAGCAAACACGTACACATACATGACCATGGATTATTACCATGGGATACCAAACTGACTGACACATCGAAACAAGGAATCTGTAGTTACAAATGGAAGGTAATGAAAAACTACCCAAACAGAAATCATAGGACTCATTTGGTTGGATCTGGTGGCAATTTTGGAGTCAAGTACACAGTTTGGGCTGTGTCTAAAATAACACCTGCAAGCCAACTACGTAGGTGTACATCAACTTGCCTGATGAGCCAGACCTGTTTCCCCAAGCATCTTACCTCTTCGGGATATCTGTACTTCTCAATGGGCTGATACCGTCTGGTCTCCTCGTTGAACTCCAATGAGATGACCACAAGGTAGTCATAGAGCTTGGATTCCTTGATGATCCGACGATATTTGTCCGCGTTGCAGTAGACCGACGAGCGTTTCTTCACTGCCCGGATGTGGGTGAGCCTCTTGTGCATAACTGCCAGGAGAACAAGGAACACACAGGAATCCTACGTCAGTGGGATCTTACAAGATCTTACAAGATCCTTAAAGATTTCCGTGAGGCGAAAGATCTTGCCAAATCAATGCCATGAGCCAAGCCAAAATGCAGACACCGATAAACTGAGTGAATAATGCAAAGGAAATTGAGGTTTCGGCTTTAAATTTGAAGTGCTGTGCAGTAACTGACAGCATGATTTATGTGCTTAAATGATTATTTTAGCAGGCATGACTGCTGTACACGCAACCTCTGTTTGCTGCACATGTATGGTACATGTACGTAAAGTGTACACGTATTCATGTTGTGTGGTTCACAGATATTTCCATGTACACTGTAAACATGCACATTTAAAGTCTCGGTAAGTGAATTGGGCACATCTTCACGAAAACTCTTTATCTGCTTTTTGTTTTGTTTGATTTTGATTTCAGTAAAGAAACTGCCAGTCCTGTGGAAAGTGACTCCCCATAACAAACAGGAAGTGGAAGTGTCTGCTGCTAGGCAACCAGGAAACCTGTGTCCAGGAGGAAGGTTATTAGATTACAGGTGAAAGGTGAATGCACACAATTGTTTTGATACTGGAGTTTATTTACCTTCCAGGTAGTAAACACCCACCTTTTGAAAACTACATCACCATTAAAACATGGTACCCAGTGAGAACCAAGAGAGGGCACAATTTCCCTAGCGACAGACGCTCCTTTGAATGGAACAGCACTTTGCTGGTTCACAAATGACTATGAAATTGCACACCTTACAGTCGCGTCCCCACCAACAGAATGAACACTCCCCACAAACAAGGCTCTTTACCAACTAATGAGGAAATGCTTATGCCCAAGGCAAATTCACGAACACAGGTCCAGGTACATGTAGGCAATGCTTTCCATGTCACTTGGCACTTTGTATTTTTATTCTTTTATTTTGATTTCGTAACACTTTTCTACTGGCTATTAAACAAAAAATTAAGTATGTTAAAAACACATATACATAAAAACAATTGACATGGCACAACAACAAACAAACAGATGACGGCTATAAAAAAAGAATACGCTTAAAAAGCCTGTGAATGGCGAGATGGAACAGGCGACCAGCATCTCAACAAAGCCATCCTACCACATGCTGGTCCCCCTCCCCCCCACAAAAAAAAGCAAATATGAGGTGGAAAAGACCGGTAGAAAATGAACAAGGAAAATAAGAAAAGTGGGAATCTATCAATATCTGCAGCCAGCACAGCGACAGGTGGACACCTAAGTACCTACATTTTCGGATTCAAAGCTAGAGTTGAACTTTGTTTTGTAAAATTCCACAATTTGGGTCTCGAATGACGAAAATGAAGAATCTGATCTGGCTGCAGAAGGAAGTTGGTACGCAATGCAATTATTCCTCCGTCCGTGTGTTCAACATGCTCAAACCAACATGATCAAAGCTCATTTTATTCATACATGTACATGTAGGCTGGCTGGACCCAGACTTCAAGAGGTACATATAGTAAACTTTTCAGACCATTCACCACACTTGTCGTCTAGCACTGCAGACAGAATAGACTGGTTCACATTCAAATGACTGTCTGATAACCAAGACTCTTTGTTGGACTGCTCAGGACTGTACATCAAAGCTCTAACTGCCACTACTCCAGCAAACAGACTACGCCTATCAATTAGGGGTAATGATAAACCTTTGGTAAGTAGTAAATACAGTCGGCCTGGAGGGCCCTTGTATTGCAAAACAGCCTCAAAACAAGGCATTTGAGAAAATCAAGTTTAAACATCGATCAATGCCTTTTGTAAGTAACTATTTCGTTTTGCATATTAATGGGATTATAGGAGATACATGTACATGTTATTGAAAATATTTTATTTTTCTTCCAGTTTTGACCCTAAATATTTGGCTAGTTTCAAAATTATGATGCAACCTGAAAAAGTTGAAATTGCGAGTCGGGATACTTTGCCAGAAAAGGGCCATGGATACCTCCTTGCAAACAATGCACAAGGGGCATCCCCATGCACTTAGACTAGATGAGCAGATCCCTAAATAAAGCCTGGCAGCTGGCCAGAAATTGGATCACCCTTGAACAAATCCGCAGACTTCCTCTTTCTCAAGATGGCATTTTGGTCGGGAGTCCCGGCTTCTATAATGAGTCCCACGAGTAAGAAGAACCTCAAGAGCTGGCTGGCGAGTTTCTAACAATGACCTGTCTGATAATGAGGAACTATACTAGTAACCCCATCCCCTATTACATTCTCCAGTTCTCATTTTCGTGGAATCAATCCTAGATCCTGCCAAATCCACTGAGAGGATTTGGGTCATTCCATGAGGGTGGGGCACAATTTGTGACGGTGTCCATTGTTACGTGGGTTCAGTAAAAATGAACAGCTATTTTCCTGCATGATGTATAAATACATCTTGCAAGGCTGAATAAAGAGGTGTGTGTGTTACTTTTACAGAATAAATTTTACTTTCTACAAAGGGTTTGATGCCTTTGGAAACATTCCCTTCAAGGAACGTGTCATCCCCAATGAAGATTCAGCAAGGTTCTCAAGACAAAAATTAAACATTAAATAAAATCTGGTTTCCAACAGAAATCTGCAAACCACATTCCATGACTTTTTAAGGACTCTCCACAACTAGAGTACGGCAATTTCCGTGGCATTTCATGCCACTTGGCCGAGAAATGTTGTTTACCGCTGCATTATGAAATGGAAGACTGCCACAGCCGTTACAAAAGACTGACAAGGTACATGTAAACAGCCTATTCCTTTATTAATATTCCATTACCACGTTTAAAATGGCCCACAAAATATATCCCTTTCATGATCTTCCTTTCTGTAACTTTTCCGTGATGTTTTCCTGTAACAACAGGATTCCAGCACAACCTTTCTTTGCCTATGTACTTTTCCATGGTTTTTCCATGACTTCCTTGTACAATTCTTTTTCCTAGGATTTTTCGAGATTTTCTGTGACTTTCGGGACCCTTAACAATGCTTAGAATATCAAAAGTTGGCAGCCGGAAAAAACACAAGCACCTGTGGGAGCCAGTGGCTTGCAAGTGCAAACCACTTCCCATGCATGCATGAGTTACTTCATGAGATACTGCTAGCCCTTGTGTTCTAGAATGTTGCTCCTGTTGCTGAGCTAGCTGTTTTTTTTTGGACTGACCTGCTTCATTGACTTCACCATCGCTGTCTTCCGACGTCACTGAGCTTCTGTCGTCGTCCGCTTGCAGAGGTCTGGGTGGCCTTGGTCGACGAAATGCATCATTGATCTTTCTTCTCATCTGCGAAAGGATAAAAACCAAAAACTAATGGTACAGGTAGCACTGATTCTTTGCGGGAAATTTGTCACATACATGTACATGTACTTACCGTAACATGGGGTAACTTTGGGCCATTTTTTACATGTACATGTATGTTATCATTTCTTCTCAGTTAAAGACAATCAATTTCAGAGCATAGTGATACTCATCTAAACTTCGATGCTGAAAAAAAAAAGGGATTTCAAAATGTGTTGGTGTTCTAGGGCATAATAAAGGGGTGACCAAAGTTACCCTGGGTTTGGGCCAACATTGGCCACCTTTTGTTTTTGGTCTTCACCAAAATGGGGCATGAAAATCAAAATAAAAATGGTTACCATGGTTACCACACACAACAAAAGTGTTAAGTTAAATAATGAATAACTACGATATTTCTGAAAAAAGAATACTAAATACATCCGCATCCCGACCTGTACGTTTGAGAGAATAACAACGTTTCAAACCCTCTAGTGGTTACTGACCAAA